TATATATATGTATATATATATATATATGTGTGTATATGTATATATATATATATATATATATATATATATATATAGGCCGAAGTGACGCGATGTCGTACGTGCGAGCAATTCCGTCTGTTTAGAGATCGACGTTCTCTCTTGGATTATCTTCATCTGCAAGTCCGTCATGCGTCCAACGATGACTTCGAAAAATGCAAACGATGCGACGCATCGCAACTGTTCTTCTCTCCGAGTCATCGTTTTACAACACTTACGTTCACGTTTGTGGCATCGACGCCACCTCGTCAAACAGCGCTCATCACAATCTAGTTCACCTTCTTTCCTTTTTAATCTTTCTCTCCGCACTTCTTCCCGTTTTCCTTTCACACATCACTCATTCATCACCGGCAATCGAAGTTCGACTAAGCGATTACCGTATATTTTCCGAGTTCCCGTCCCTCAATTCCACCCCGGTCGGTGGAAATTCGCAATCACAGCATTTTCAACGCGCGTCACTCTCGACGTGGATCACAATCTCACATTTACAAAAAATCTTACCGCCACAGAGGACAAAGTTGACGATATACAAAGGTGCTCTGCGTCGTCTACATCGGCAGAAAGTACAAGTCAGCAAGCTACAGCTATATATATATACGTACACATATACATATATATTTATAATATTTATATGTATATATATATAATTTTTTTATCATTCACTTATCGTGTCTCTGTACTAAGAGGATTGTGGCGACTCTGACAGAAAAGAAAAACAGCGCTACGGAGCACACGAGCTCCGAAACGAACTACTGAGGTGCTCATGGAATGTTTAATTATTTTTTGTTTCTTTTTACGATCTTTCAGCGTTCTATTAATCTTTCAAAACATCTGCGGCCATAAAACGCGAAGAAACGGAAAAAAAATGATGAAATGGCCAAAAATTATTTCATACGATTGTTAAAAAAGAGAGAACTCCAAAGATATAAATCAAAAATAAAAAAAAGGTTAATAGGAGAGTTCAAGTACGAAAGTTGTAGTGCTATAAAACCTATGGATATAGGTAAAAGTTCCCTGTGTTGGGAAACAAAGCAACTTGGAGGATTATCTGCGACAATATCGCCCTTGATTTTAAGTTTGGCTCCTTACATAATGTCCAAGACAATACGACCGTTGCACTCTACTAAGTGCTTCTGTAAATAACTTCTATTATTACGGACGGTGAAGGAATGTTTCAACACAGACTGGAATTAAGGCTCCTGGCCTCTCGCATTGTCTATCTCTTTTTAATGACGTCAGAAGCGAGAAAATGCATGCTAAAAATTCTTGCGAAATACGTTGAAATAAAAATATATATCCATAAAGTAACACTCGCAATCCATTAAACAAATCTATAAGATATTCCGTGCACTCCTCTTTTGCTCTAACAATCAATAATTTGTCGTAAATTAACATGACACTATTCAACTTCTTAACTTATTTTTTCCCCTATTTCTATTCAAATTAATTTACAATAAATTATTGGATTGTTAGAGCAAAAGGGGAATGCACATATTTTACAAATTTGTTTAATCAATTGCAAGTGTTACTTCATAGATATATATTTTTATTTCAATATATTTCGCAAGAATTTTTAGCATACATTTTCTCGCTTCTGACGATTAAAAAGAGATAGACAACCCCCAAGAAGCAAAGTGACGTCTAAAGACGTCATTAAGATGTCATTAAGATATCATAGACGTCTTAATGACGTCTTAATGATGTTTTTAGACGTCATCTTGCTACCTGGGAATGCGAAGGGCTAGGAGTCTTAACATTGTTTTCAGAATTTTATGCCTTGTAATTCTTTCCTCCCAGTCTCGGTTACGAACAATCTTGAGGTCTATTTTGTAAAATTCTTGATGTCGTTTTATTTAGAATTACTTGTTACACTAAAGAGGATTCACAGATGGACCGAAACGCTTGATGTTTTACACTTTTAATGTTCAATAAATTACTTTGTTTCCCAACACAGGGAACTTTCATCTATATCCGTAGGTTTTATAGCATTACAATTTTTGTATATAAATTCCTATTAACCCTTTTTTTATTCTTTTATTTATTCCATATGATGTTTTGTTCTTTTTTGTTCCTTGTTCAAGATTTTCTTTCAGCGTATTTTCAATCTTTTGAAACATATGTGGACACAAGCGGAGAAGAGAAAATAATAGTAAAAGGATGGCCGGGGAGTGACAATGGTAACTTTTTCGTGGATAATGAAGAAGGGTCTTTTTAAAAAAAGCACCCTAACAAAACGGAACTTTCCGTTGCCATCTGTCGATGGAATTTTCGGGGAACGGTTGATTTTCTATTACCTATACTCTCTTTCTTTCTCACTTTCCAGTCTATTATTACAGAAGTCTAAGTGCAAGATTCAAATTCGGCCGATCTACGAAGAGAAGAGGCGTACAGGCTGACGTGAACGTTTCCATAGCGAACGTTGTGTATAATATTTTTGCACTTTCCAAACTCCACATACAAGATGTGTCCCAGTAAGCAAGGAACATTAAATTAACGCTTAGAAACGTTGACTTCATGTGCATTGTTTGGACATTTTTTGATAATATTGCATTTATATTTTTCACATGTTATTTTGTGATGATTTTTCTGAATATTAAATGTTTTAAAAACATTACAGAAAATATATTTTTCAAATTTTACTTTAACATTTATTTGAGATCAATGTAACATCTTAAAAATATTTCTGCCGATTAAAACGTTATAGCAACCCAAATATTAAACATTACATATTTGACAATATTATAGGTTCTTCAATATCATTGTAGCAATGTTGTATTAATGATTTCTTGCTTACTGGGGTGTGTGTATATTCACCGTAACGATATCTCCTATATTTTTACCAGTTACAATAAACGAATAGAAAGAAGTTCTAGATGTAATTGATTAGTTTTTAAACAGCAACAAGATGCAATAATAAAAGTTTCAAAAACGTTTTCTTTTCATAAAAATATCAAGGTCATCTTCATGTTTTCTTCATGGATTCTTATCTTTTTTATTTGTAGTGTCGTAAAACAAATTCGACAGTAATTTATAATGTTATCTTTATTGCTATTTCACAGCAAAAAAGAGGACAGTAAAATAATGAAGAATTTTAAAAGCGTATGACACAAGCATGCAGAAACATAAGTCGAAATATCCTAATTAATGCAACACATAAAACTCTATTACAAAGGGCGAAGTTTTGTGTTATACAAAAATTGATTACATATTTCTAACGTCCTGAGCATCTAACATTATTCATTACATTCTAAACATTATCTTCTGTCTGTATTTTCACAGTTAAATATTGGTGGAAATAACATTATGAGTTACTATTGAATTTATATTTTGACCCTTTTTATAATATACTGCGAATAAAAAAGATGTTTCCATTAAAAAGATGTTTCCAAAAAGAATAAAAAAACCTTGATTTCTTTACGAAAACAAATGTTTTCAAAATCTTTATTGTTGTATTTTATTGTTGTTAAAAACTGATTAATCGTATCTAAAGTTTTTTTG